GTATAAAAATAGTTTTAGTGTGAGGTGCTTAAGATCTTCTGGGATATTGATCTTCTGGGATATTAAATGATATACACAGTTTATTTATATTTATACACACACATGCCTTTTTATGTACATTATTTTGTTTGATTTTTGCAGTGACCTGTTGGTTATATGTTTTTTTGTTACCATTTAGAGATAAGGAAATGTTACAATTACACAAGAACTCAAATAGTCCAGTTCCAAATTCTTTACTAAACTCAATGTCCCTTTCCTATTCCACACTGCCTATGTTTGACCTACACTGGTCATGTCTTCTTTTTATGGAAAAGATGTTGCTGCCCTAGGGTCTAATTAATGGATTAATTAATATCAATATTAATGATCAAATTATCAATATGTCCTACCACATGCCAATGGATTTCTCAAAAGCTTTACTTTAGAGATCATAATGGGAAAAGCAAAGTATACAGAGCCTACGTTTGCTTTATAACTCCATCTATTCATTTCCTAATAATATCAAAATGATGCTTCCTTTTCATCAGTCTGATTCTTCTGGGAAGTACCAGAGATACACTGGAACAATCAATGTAGCTGATCTTTTCAAACTAAATTATTACTTTCTTAATGAGTTTGGGTAAAAGTGGTTTAAGCACATAGAAAAATGTAGTATAGTCTTTATTTTCTGAGGGAATTATAATAAATTGAATTTTGTCTTTCTAAATTAGTTTTATCAATTAATGACTTCCCCATTCTAGTGTATTTTTTATTTCACCTTTCCAAGTGATGTTCTTAGGTATTTACTACCAGGAAGTAGGTATATTGTAAGTATACCTATTGTTGCTTAATAATTATTTAAGGAGGCTTAAACCCTTGCCAAATTGCATTATGTGGCTCTCTGATTATTGAATTTTATATTTGATATCTACTGTGTGGACAGATTTAGTTTTTCATTTCTCTCTCTCCATTTGCCATATGTTCTTGCACATTATTTCCCTCATAGATTCTTTGGTAGAAAAGTTTTATTTAAGAATTACAGTGTGACCCTCCCTGAGGGCTCAGTGGGTTAGGACACAGCACTGCAACTAGCTGCAGCACCTCAAGCCCCAGCCCCGGAGGTGACCCACATGGTGCGGCAGACCTCACCTCTCTCCACCTCCACTACTTCCCTCAGCAATGTACTTTGTAGATCTGCCTGTTCTGCTCCCCACTCTGTCTCTGGTGAATCCTCTCACTGC